ACTCATTGTCAAAAATGAGGTGTTTGTTATACATTTGCTCATGTTCGTCATTGTGCGTAACTATAATTTTCTAGAGTAGTTTTTGTGCTCCCGCTATCACCTTGTATGAATTAGTTTTTCGTTGATATACCCCAGCAAACATTTGGGGTCATAAATGAGTCTTTAAGGAGTCCTATTTCGGAGCCTTTGCGCTCATAATGAGCTCATTTAAGAGTCCTATATGAGGGTGTTTCCCTTCCCCCGAAGGTCGACTTATATGAGCTTAAATTCATACATCAAATGAGCCTCAATATGTTGGCCTCATATACATACATATGAATCATTTCAGACTCTTTTTGAGGCTCTTATCGGCCTCATATTTATGATTCATTCGGACTCTTATTTCAGGTTGTTCTTCGAGTCGATTTGAACGCACTATATTTGCAAAGGCGATCAGCAAAAATTTCTTTCAAATAACTTACATGCATACTACATCGTGCATATGCACATTCCAACATGCATTTAATAGCAGCAGCTGTAGCTAAATTTTGTTAATTTTTTGTTTTCTAATTATTTTCAATTTCTGTATAAAAAAGTTTAGATATAAATTTCAAATCTTTATTGTTTTTATATTGGCACAAGGTGCTGGCTCACAACTTGGATCAAATATGAATCCTAAAAGATTCATATAACAGTAAAAAATTTTTTGTTTTTGAAACTCATATTTCTTACCTAACTAGGACTCCTTTCGGACTCATATATTCTAAACGTTCAGAATATGGTTGCTGGGACTCTGATGAACATACATATGTATGTGGGGACGATAGCAAGGTGAACTCATATAAGGTAGTGTTACATGAGCAGTTGAATTTTTCGCCCCGGTGTTTCTTAAAGAAAGCCATAAGCGTAGCGACCGTAGATCCAACTTGGTGATGTTTTGCTCTAGAATTAATTTCTGTCTTGGTTTTATGAAAGATCAAAAAATTTTGATTTTCTGGCAATACATTAATGGTCATACATTAATGGTCATGTTGTACAAACTCATTTTATTTTGAGTTTATTTTGTTCACTAAATAACCCAAAATGGATAACTCAGCCGAAATATGTACATGCTTGCGTTGAATTTTATAAATGTAAGCCGAAACTTAAAATTATGTGTTTGTTGCAGGGCTTCAAACTGGTTTAAAACTAAACCGGTCTTTGAACCAAACCGTCGCTATTTTTCGGGCTTCGAACCGAACCACAAACCGAACCATTTTTTCTTTTGAAATGCCAAAACCGAACCGAAAACTATTCCAAAGAATGGTTCGGTTCGATTCAAAATCCACTAAAGCATTTTTCAAGTTTTGTAATACACAACTTTTTCTAAAAATGCAAGTGCAATGGCACCTATGTTAATTATAATTTCGTCCATATAAAAATGCTTGAAATATTTTTATATGGAAAAAATGCAGATCACCGCCAGCAAAAAAAAAAGTCAAGTCCGTGAAAAATTGCCAAAAATCTACTTAAAATTTAAAAATATTTTCTAAAAATTCTTATTAAAAAGTTTGCAATTTAGATGCAACTTTGAAGAATTTTCATAATTTTTTCAAAAAGTTTTAAACTTGGGTTTACTCAGTTTTTGTTAGACGTAAAGATGTAAAAAATGAAACCTTAAATAAACAGAAAAATATAGCCAACATTGTTAAAATTTCGCGTCCCAATTTATTTTTCCACCACTATAAATGTGTGTGTGCCTTTTATTTTTATATAAATAGATTTGTGTTATTTGTATCCTTTAGCATTAAAAAAATTAACCATTGGAACCGAACCGAGCCGCGGTTCAGGAATACTCATGGGCCGGTTCTTGAACAAGCTTTTCCTAAGTGGTTCAAACCACTGAACCCAACCGCGCCGTTTTTTGGAGTGTTTTGCAGCCTTGGTTTGTTGTCATTAATTCTGTCATAGGCCAATTGATGAAATCATTTCAGTAATTTCTACGTGATAAGTGTTCCTCCATTATTTGGTTTTATAGGGATTCGGATAGCTTTCTCATTGAAGTAATAAAGAAAATTCGCTTAAGTGCTTCTTTCGGTTAAGCGCACAAGTTTTTCGTGCAAAGAAGAATGGGCAGCTATGCAAAATGTACTGCATTCAATTTTTTTGTTTAGCGACATACATACTTATGGCCAGATTATCTTCGTTTTCGAGCTGAACTATCCAAAGCGTAATTAAGAATACAAAATTTCTCATCTGGAAACCAAGTTATAAAATAATCCTGTATAAAAAAGGTAAAACCCGGATTTATCGATTATTTTTGGTAAAGAGAGGACAAACGTCATAGAAAAAAGATAAACAACAATAAACGCCGCTAAGAAAAAGCGCATGGTTGATGTATTTTATTTTAAAATGTGCTGAAAACGTAATGATCAGGGTTGGGTAAATTGCACTAACAGGTCTATTCTGCGCTGGTAATAAAAGTTTTGTGACCGGTAAATTAAGTTCCGGTCAAATTTTAAACCCTTTTCGAATTCTGCGTACTCTTGTAGGCGGTAAATTTTGTTACCATCTCATAAGCCGGTAACAAAGTATTGCCCCGTGAAATATGCAATGCCAGAATCTCCACAATTCTTTATAGCTGAATTGCTGAATATTTTAACTGCATTACCAACGTAACTAGAATCGCTGTGACAAGAACTGGTAACATTTTTTGGTAATAAAATTTTCCGGTTACAAAATCATTGGTAACGTGCAGAATAGACCTGTAAATCGAAATTTTCGCTACCACTAGGGCTTTAGTCACTATATGGTTAGTGGTAGCGTATTTCAATTTCACTACCACTATACGGTTAGTAAAAGTGCTTTTAAAATTTCAATAGCACTACATAGTGATAGTAAAATGTAATTTTCAATATCACTATCTGGTTAACGGTAAAGGAACGAAAATTTCACTATCACTGACTAATTACACTAGTTTGAAAATTTGGGAAAATTTGGCGATCTATGATTTTAATACCCATTTCTTTACAAAAGGTTTGTTCAAAAATTTATAGCCACTAACTATATAGTGGTAGTACCACTGTATGGTTAGTGGTAGTGACAAATTGTTTCACTACCACTATGAACTTAGTGCTAATGCAGGGGCGGACCCAGCAGCAATCCTTGGGGGGGGGGAAATTTTTCACCGCAGTTTAAAACTTTTAGAGTTTTGTTAGTTTTTAATTTCTTGAAGTTTCCCCTTTTTAATGACTTGAGTGGAATTCCAAAATTTTCTAAACTTTTAAAACTTTGTGAATTTGAGAAATTTTAGTAAATCCCAATAATTCAATATAATGATTTTTCCAGAATTTTTTTATTTTTCAAAAATTTTGAGAATTGTAGGAATTCTAACAAATTTTTTCTAAGTAAAAGTGTCGAATATACACAATTGATCAAACGAAATTGGAAGTTTTTGAATGTTGAAAACATTTTCATATTTCGTCGTTTTTGAAAATTTAAAAATTTTCGTAATTCTTGAAGATTCAAAAAATTTTTGGCCGTTTCCCCGGATTTCGATAGTTTTTGAAATTTTGGAAATTATCCTCAAAAATAAGAAATCTCAAGAAATTTAATAATATTATAAAATGCAAAATTTTGGAATTTTCGTTGTTTTCTGAACCTGTGAAAATATTCAAACTTGCTCTGACTTTGAACTGTGTAAAATAATACAAATTCGGAAATATAACAAAAAAACTTAAAATTTAAAATTAAGTACATAATTTGAAAATTCAGTGAATTTCGAAAAACTGATTAACTTAAATAACACAATACTTCGAGCTTAGCACACAGCTATAATTTCAAACTCAAGTGAAATTTAACACACTTTTTCCATGAATTAAAATTTTCAAAAGCATCCATTCATTAGGTTTATTCCACAAGCTTCTCGAAGTCACTTCGAGTTACATATACGCGCTCCGCAAGTAAGTTTTCGAGTTTCTTTGATATACGCTCACAGTTTGAACTTTGCTCGAGTTTTTCTACAAGTAGCTTGTGGGACAAACCTGTTATATATTCTTGTAATGATATTTCACGATATTTAGTTGAATATTATGAAAATACATATTACACAGTTTTGAGGGTGAGGGAAATTTCCCCTACCTGGGTCCGCCACTGCCTTATGTATTTCAAATTTCATTACCACTACACGAATAGTGGCATTGAAATGTTCAGTGCATTAAAAATTTAGTGCAGATATTATACATGCTTACATATCGTACCGCTTCCCTTATCGTCCTGTAATGCTCCATTGTTGATTTATTTTTGTGACCCACGCTTCAAAACTCCTTTTATGGATATCAATACATCTAAAGACTGGGTAGATGGTGAACTAATTCAAAACAATATAAATCAGTTAGCATGGAATCATATGAAAATGGCCAAACTCTAGTGAAAGCTTCTATTGAAGAGCAAGCTCAACAGGATATTTGCCAATGCTTTGAGGAAATCGCCAACGGCTCTGATGCTGATTCCAGTTTTTGTAGTGATGTGGATAGCCAAACGATGGAAACCCCTTATACCCAGACAAGAAGATCCTTTAATTTGGTGGAAGCAGAGTCGCAAAGATTTTTCAAATTTGTTTGAACTGGCAATGAGGTACCACTGCGAACCATCTTCCTCAGTGAACTCTGAAAGAGTGTTTAGTGCGTCGGGTAGCATTTATGTTCAAAACAGAAATAGGTTGTTGACCTGAAATGCCGAATTACTAATTTTCATAATGAAAAATGTATAAATCTTTAACTCTATTTACTAATTATATACTATACAATTTGATTACAAAGATAAAAAAAAGTGAACTAGATGTTAAATTAAATCTTCTATAATAGAAATCCTGAAATCCGGCCGGATTTTAGCCAGTATCCGGCCGGATAGTCGGATAACAGAAAAACGGCCGGATTCCGGATATCTATCGGATAGCCGGCACATCCCTAATACATACATAAGTGCATTCACTTAAAAAAAAAGGTTATAACCCTAACGTATATGTTTGTGATTATTTTAAGTACACAACAATGAACTAAACAACACCTTTGGTTTTATCGAATCGCCACCTTTAATTTCCGCTCGTAACGACGAGGCTTATACCTGGAGAATTCTACAGAGCAGGGGGAATTTTATTTGCATCAACTTTAAAGAGTATAACGGCGGCTTGAAGGTAAGAATATTTACATATTTGTTCAAAGAACTTTATAATACACTACTAGTTTTTATTTTATTAACAGCTGTATGATGGTTTTGATGACACGGCTTTGGAAATACCTATCCAATTATCGCCTTGGCAATATACATCCAGTAGCAACGTTTTGTATTTAGTCAGTTGTAATAGTGAGCTAGAGCCTTTCAAAATCGATTGGAAAACTGTCAATAACAGTGTCACACAAACCAATCTGTCCAGAAGTGATTGCGCTAAGACTTTTGTCTTAAATTATAACAACCGCCTTAATATTTCTTCGCCTGGGTATCCAAATGGCTATGCTAATGACTTGGACTGTACATGGATCATAAAACCAGAAGATGCTACCGAGCATATTTTGCTGAGTTTATATGAGGTTAAACTTGAGGCTTACGGGGAATCAGATTATTTGCGTATCCTAACATCTCATAATTTAAGAGATTGGCATAAGGAATTGGATATTTCTGATAGCAAAGACATGTCTATTAGTCCTGTTAAAGTTGTTGAAGGCACGCCTTATTTAAAACTTGTACTACATACGGATTCCAGTGTTAATCGCACGGGATTCACTTCGTTGGCAAAGACTGTTTGCGGTTCTAACATGACCGGGCTTACAGGACATATATTGGCGAAAAATGTAATGCGCTCCCGGAGCTCGAACTCCTATTGTATATGGCATATTGAAGTCCCTACTGGTAAAAGGATCGCCCTTACTTTTGATTTCGGAAAAAATTTTGTGCCCACATCTCAAACTTGCCGACAATATGCGGTAGTTTACGACGGATTCGATGACAATGCGCGAATATTATCGCCTGGGCGCATATGCAACCAAGCAGGTCGTAACGTTAAAAGCTTAGAATCTTCAACTAGCCGCTTAACCATTAAATATAATCTAAACTGGACCAATGCGTTTGAGAAAGATTTTGACTTCAATCTGACTTATCAACAAGTCGGTGATTGTGATACCCAATTACAACTAACACATTATCTAAGATCAGCTAACATTAGCTCGCCTAATTATCCCAACGTACCCAATCCACACACAGAGTGCAATTGGATTATAATAGGTCCTGTGGGCGAAACGTTGCAAGCTGAATTTTTGGACCATTTCAGTATGAATACTCGGTTTTGTGACAAAGAATTCATAGAAATTTTTGATGGCTCGACTGAGTTGTCACGAAGTTTGGGACATTTCTGCACAAAGCCCAATGTAATTCGATCTACCGGAAATATTCTTCGTTTTCATTATTTAACCGATATAAGCGAGCCTCGGAGTGGCTTTCTTTTGAATGTATCTATTTCCAGCTGTGGCGGTACCTATACAGATGTAGCTGGGGACATTACATCACATGGTTACCCGGCGCTTGGGTCCTATCCAAAGCCAGCCGTTTGCGATTATACTATAAAAATGCCCTACAGATCACGAATGCGGTTAAATTTCAGTGACATTGATTTGCCATACAAAAATAATAATTTGAATCGGTCAGATCGTATAGAAGTTGTCACGATAAGCGATAATCCTGAAATAATAACGGTTTTATACGGAAATTTCACAACAATGCCAGTATTAGAAATTGATACAAATGCAGTAACGCTGCGCTTTATAACTTTCCAAGAAAGCAATTTGTATCGGGGATTTAAGTTAAGATTCCAGCGTTTATATGGTCTTTGTTTCCGCGAGGTTGAAAACGATGCTGGTGTATTGTCATTGAACATGCTTGATCGGGTCCCAATTTATGTCTCCTGCAGATGGAAGATCAAAGTTCCAAAAGGACAGCGAGTGACTTTCGAGTTTCAAAAAGTCGAAGCTCAGAGTGTTGCTAATAATACAGAACGGTAAGCTTTATTGCCATTTGAGCAAACTTCTAATGTGTATACATAGAGCATAATGAACCATATTTTTGCTATTACCAATAAAAATTGTAAAAAAGCGGATTTTCGGCCCACACTCATACATATGTATCTGTAACAACCATTTACACATGATCGCATGCTTAAGTACACATTAGTGCTGCCACTTTACCACAATTGTGGTAGATCTACCTCATTTCCGGTAATTTTTCACTTCAACCACAACTACCACACATTTAAAAAATCGACCACAATTTTATTGAAATACAATCCCAGCCAGCAGAGAAACGTACTTTTTGCCGAAAGTGCAGTTTTCGTACATTTTTCGTATCCGGACACGTTCAGAAAACGATTTCCATATGTGTTAATTTTTCGTGTCCGAAAAATGACATCATCTTATTTCAAAACAATAATTTTAAAATATTTGTTCAAACTGAGCATTTGAAAACATTTATACGTATTCGCCAGTAGCTGAGTATGCAGAGAAGTGTGCTACTATTTGTTAGCTTTCAGGAGGTCCCAGGTTCGAATTCCGTCAGAAGCAACCCATTAAAATGATTTATTCAAATTGAAATAATTGCTGAATCTTAAAATTGTTTTTTGTTTGGTTTCCTGTGATTATGAAAAAGTTTCTGTGAAGTTCATAATGAAATCGTTTTCAAGGAAAAATTGAATCTGACAAATTTCAGGAAAACAGCCGAAAGCGCATCCGTTTTAGAACTATTTTCGATAGTTTTCTGCACATACGTTTCGGATGAACACTTTAATGGGAGAATTGATCTGAAAAACGTCTGAAAAAGGAATCGGAAAACGGATGAAACATCAGGTTTTTACGGATACGTTTGTACGTTTCCGGATATTTTACTGGCTGGGATTATTTACCTAATTCCCCGAAATGTTGCTTTTATAAAAGTTGAACAGCAAATTTTCTCGTGAATATGAGTGTAAAAGTCAGAATATTGTTTACGTTTTAAGCATTGCAATGGGTTCAAACTCGTTACCAGGGATTTTTGGGATCGCTGATTACGCATATGATATCAGTTTTTCAAAATTCAAAACAGCGATCCAAAATGGTGATCAATTTGAAAAAAAAAATTGCTGGATTGGTTCCAAACTCGGAGCTCGGGAATTTTTGGGGCGGAAAATGGCGGATCCAATTTTGCTATCAAATTCTTAAAAAATTACTAAAATTAAAACGTTGAGACTGAAAGTTTTACGCATTGTCACGAATCTGACATCAGCAGATTTTAAAATTCAAAATGGCGGATCCAAATCATTTTTTTATTGGTCGCCATATTGCATCCGCCATTTTGAATTTTGAAAAACTGACATCATATGCGTAATCAGCGATTCCAGAAACCCCCTGGTAATGAGTTTGAACACATGACAATGCTTAAAACGTTCAGTATCAACGTTTTAATTTTAGCAGTCTCTTTTCGAAAGCATATTTTCGGGGACTATGCCCATTCTAACTGTCCGAGACAGGTATGTAATTAATGGAATATTCCCCAATAATACCGGAGTAATTACATTTAAAAACAATACTTTTAGCTGCCCTATAACATGTCACGAAAATAAAAAAAATACCCAATCAGCGTTTACATAAAAAACTGATTAGCGCGACCTCCAAAAAAATTTGTTTCTTTTCAAAATAAAAAAATACGTGTATTTTTTTCTCACAAACAACAAACAACAATATTTTGATTTAGCGTTTATAAATTTCCAAAAAGAGTGTTTTCTTGAACCACTCTAATAAATATATATATATTTTCTACAGATTAGATTCGAAGATAGCGTTTAAATTTTCTGGGCTTGGGATACATTTAATATTTTAGTGTTTTCTAAGCGTTATTTTATATTTTGAATCAACTCTTTTTCTTTCCTTCATAACATAGCTATTTGCCCCTACCTTTATTATTGCCCGCTAATGTTATCAACGCGAAGAATAATAGAGTTACTCAGTGACTTTTGCATCGCGTTAAAACGTCTGTACTGAACATTTATCCACTTCACACTTCCACTCGAACAATTGGCCGTGTAAACGTTGCAAACGCTCGACTTTGGCGAAGCAATTGGATGCATTATGTCGACTTGCGACATTTTGCATTATGTCGCGGTTTTCGCTGGCAGTTAAGTTGCCAAAACGCACAGGGCGACTCATATGTATTCAAAATTATTGATGCCAAAATTACTTGGTATCGAATGAAAAGTATCGAGTATGTACTTGTATTTACTTGTATCGTTTCATCCCTAGTTTTAAGCCACCATCTGATTTTCGGGATAACCATTTCCCATAACAAAGCTTAAAAAGGCAGATAATGTACGTTTTCTGCTTTACAAAAGTGTGACATTTTAAAAAACGGACACAAAATTTTCTCACCGTTTGCCTTTATTTTAGAATCGAACGCGAAATGAGAAATGGGCAATGAAAAGGCGAAGATGTTCTAAGAGCATTTGTGCATTAAATTAAAAAAAAAAATCGCTTAAGTTATTTTCGCGGTTGANTGAGAAATGGGCAATGAAAAGACGAAGATGCTCTTTTTTTGCATTAAATTGTGCATTGAATTAAAAAAAAAAATCGCTTGTGTTATTTTCGCGGTTAGGGCTCGGATATATATGCGGCTTAAAGGAAACATGAGACCGCAAAACGTTTGCCTGTTTGTTTAGTTCCCTGAACCGTCCCTGTATTGATATGGCGCTTCATTCTTTCACTTCAAATCGAAAACACATTGCGATCACAGTGTACTAGCAATATAGAAGTATTACATATATGGTTACTACAGTGTAATTCGGCGAATAAAAAGTTTACAAATATTCTACCATACTTTGTAGTAGTGTTGCCGCGGCACCATGAAAAAATGTATCGTACAAAAAAAAANGCAAAACGTTTGCCTGTTTGTTTAGTTCCCTGAACCGTCCCTGTATTGATATGGCGCTTCATTCTTTCACTTCAAATCGAAAACACATTGCATTACATATATGGTTACTACAGTGTAATTCGGCGAATAAAAAGTTTACAAATATTCTACCATACTTTGTAGTAGTGTTGCCGCGGCACCATGAAAAAATGTATCGTACAAAAAAAAAACAAAAAATTTATCAAATGTATCACTTTTTTCTATCAAAGTGTCAAGTTAGAAAAAACTTAAAAAATGCTATTTGGTTTCATACCTTTGCTTTTTATTATTGTCAATAACCAAAAAATCATGTAATGCACATTCATCTTCTTCTTCTTCTTAATTGGCGCTGTAACCGCCTAAGCGATTTTGGCCGAGTCCAAAACAGCACGCCAGTCATTTATCTTCTGTGCTAACTGACGCCAATTGAAAATGCCAAGTGAAGCCAAGTCCTTCTCCACCTGGTCTTTCCAACGCAGAGGAGGCCTTCCTCTTCCTCTGTTACCAGCATCGCGGCCCGCGTTGAATATTTTCAGAGCAGGAGCGTTTCTGTCCATCCGAACGACATGGCCAAGCCAGCGGAGCCGCTGAATTTTAATTCGCTGCACTATGTCTATATCGTTGTAAAGCTCATACAGCTCATCGTTAAATCGTCTGCGATATTCGCCATCACCAACGCGTAAAGGTCCGTAAATCTTTCGCAGAATCTTTCTCTCGAAAACTCCAAGAGCCGCCTCATCAGATGCTTTCATTGTCCATGCTTCCGCGCCATACACCAGCACAGGCATGATGAGTGACTTATAGAGTGTGATCTTTGTACGACGAGAGAGGACTTTACTTCTCAATTGCCTACTCAGCCCAAAGTAGCACTTGTTGGCAAGAGTGATTCTCCGTTGGATTTCAAGGCTGACATTATTATTGGTGTTAATGCTGGTTCCCAAATAAACGAAGTCGTCTACTTTTTCAAACTTGTAACTGTCAACAGTGACGTGGGTGCCAAGACGCGTATGCTCTGACTGTTTGTGTGCTGACAGGAGATACTTCGTTTTGTCCTCGTTCACCACCAGACCCATTCGCTTTGCTTCTCTATCCATTCCCGAGAAGGCAGAACAGACGTAGCCCTTGTTTTTACCGATAATATCGATGTCGTCGGCATACGCCAGCAATTGTACGCTCTTATAAAGT